ATATAAGCCCCCCACCCCATAAGATCAATAAAAACCACAAAAAAAAACCTCTCTAGTATAAGAGCATATTGAGAAGAAAGGACGCTGTACTAGCTTAGTTTCCGTAAGATGAAGTAAGTAAAATGAACTTGGACAAACCAGACTCTTCAAGGATTATTTGCAATAATTATTTTTTGCTAATCCCTTTTCTGTTTGAAAGTTGCCAAACCTAGTCGTCCTGTTCCGCTGGCATTGCAGCAGCGGATATAGGAGACAGAATGGATCTATGCAGCAGCACCACCCTCCAGTGGGCAACCTATAAAACTGAGCAACAGCCTTGCGTTTGCTCCTTCTCCTTGAGTTTGCTAAATAGGGTGTGCCAACAGACTCCCCGCTTGGGAGAGCCAGATGTTGTGAATGAAGCTTAGGTTTGCCAGCCTTGGTTTCAACAAGGAGAAAGAAAACACAGTCAGCCTATCCAGTTCTGCTACGCTGTAACGGCAGATCCTCATAACTGTTGCAATGAAACAGAGTTTGCTTCTGCTGCTCAGATGCCAAACCCATTTAGCTGGGAAGAAGCACCAGTTTGTTGCAGAAAAATTCAACGTGGCCTTTGGTGTGTGTGTGGGTGGGGGGGGGGGTCGGTGTAAGAGCTGCAGGAAACAAGGCTAAGCTGGGTCAGTCGGATGCAGCGTCATCCTTGCATTTCCCCAGTCTGCAAGGCGTGGTGTGAATCTTCTTCCCTTGGATTCGCTCTGACTTTGCTGGTTGCATTGCACGAGGGGCCGTGAGCAGTCGGGTGGCATCTTGTCCCAAGATGAGGAGAGTCTTGATGGGGCTGGGAATTGAGTTGGGCTTTCTTTATTTCAAAGACCAGCATCGAAGGACGGGTGCGATCAAACAACAGCACCAGAAAGAAAACCTCAGTTCTGATGGCTTTCTATGCATGGATGTACAAGCAGTCCTCATTTAGCAACCAGAATTGGGACTGGCACTTGGTCATTAAGTAAAGTGGTCACTAAGTGAAACCGTGACTGTGCTTATTATCTTACTTCAGCTTTCCTTTGCTTTACAGACCTGTGAAGGTTGTAAATGTGAAGACTGGTTGCAAAGTTACTTTTTCATCACCATCATAAGTGTGAACAGTCACTAAATGAGGCAGTTGCTAAATGAGGACTACCTGTATAGTATTCTAACATGCGATAATGATGATTATGGGGCTGGGAGTGCAGAAGGCAAACTCTTTTCAATAAATTCATCCACAAGGAAGCCCTGTCCCATACCCATCGATTTAAATGAGAGAGACCGAGGCTGTGGTCCTATCCTTACTTACCTGGAAGTCGGACAAATTGAAAATGGGATCTTTGCGCTGCTAAAAAGGCACTTACCTATAGAAATGAATTGAAATGGACTATTTCCTCAGCCAGTATGCAGGAGAGAGGCGGCTGTAAAAGTTGAATGTTGCTTAGCTGACTGCTTTTGACTCAGGTTCTTCCCCCCCACCCCCAAAAAAGGCTTGGAGGCATCTCTTTGGTACGCCAAGTACAGCATTTGAGAGTTGCTATTTTTTTCTTACACAAATCTTTGTGCAATCATCTTCTAAGTACATTCTGATGAAATGTAGTGAACTTAATCATCATATTTCAAACTCAAGTATAGGAATGTATATAAATCATACAATTACAGATTTGGGAAGGGGCATGGAGGATAGGGATGCCTATAACTCTATGTTTTATTCCTGTTTTAACTCAAGTTAAAGCATTTGTTCCTGCTTTAACTCAAATTAAAGCATCTCAGAGCATCTCTCTGGACATCTTTCCTAACACTTAGCTATCTCCCTGCATTTTTTATCTTTATTTATTTGACAGATGGAAAAGATAAAACAATAGCATGGGGGAAAAAGGAAAGGGAAAAAAGGTAAAGCCAAACGGCCGCAACGGTTCTATGCACCGGGGCTTCTCAGAGCGGTATGACGTGTCTCTCTCTCTTCTATGGGGCTTAGTTCCCCATCGAGATGATCCTCGCATTGCGACCCTGTTCCGCTTATCTGACCCCGCTTCGTTCGTGCAAGGATAATGCAACGGGCAGCGGGTCCACAAAACGCTCCCACGAGGAAAGGAGAAGGGGGTGGGACTGCGTGTGGCGAGGGACCGGCGCCCCTCCTTGCAAATACTGTTTCCGTGGCTTACAGGTTCAACCTCAGCAACGTGAAGAGGTGTGGACTTCAACAGGCTGGCTGGGGAATGCTGGGAGTTGAAGTCCACACTTCACGTTGCTGAGGTTGAGAAACACTGCCACAGACCACAGGAGGGCGCCGGCGCCCCAGGTGCGGGCGCGTTTGGGCAAAGTTGGCCTCGCCGCCGCCCGTAGTTCCCATAGCAACGGCAGAGGCGCCGTTGCGTAGCCGGGATTTCCGCGGCGCGACGGTCGGCCGACCGGCAGGCTTCCCTCCCCGGTTCCCCGCCTGGGTCGGACGGGAGACCCCGCTGCGCCCGAAGAGACCCCACGCGGTACTTCAGGCAGGCCCGCCTGCCCCCAGAGCACGTGCAGAGGGCTTTTTTTCGAATCCCACGAGCCTCTCCTTGGGGGCGGGGGGAGGTGGGCAACTCAGGGAAGGCTTGGCTGGGCTGTCGTGCCGCCTCACGGGATTTCCTGGTGGTCTCCCATCCTTTCCTGTTCTTCCCTGCCACAACAATCCTGCGAGGCAAAGGGTGCTGAGAGAGCTTCCCGGTCCTGGTCCAGCTGCTGCAGTAGTGGCCGGCCGTCGCCTTTTCAGTCCTGGGATCTCCTGGTGGTCTGCCATCCGTGCAGTAGCCAGGCCCAAATTCGTCTCTGGGGAGTCCAGTCCACCTCTGGATGACTTTGTGAACGCGTCCAGGCCTCCCTGTTGCCTTCTGCCTGTGATCTCCTGGTGGTCCCCCACTCTTAGACCAACTCAGTTCATTTTCTCAGCCACAGTGCGGAAATAGGTTTCCTATTGCCTTCTGCCTAGGATCAAACCCAGGCCGTTTTCTTTGCTTCAGTATACAGAAATGGTCTTCTTGTTGCCTTCTGCCCAGGATCTCTTGGTGGTCCCCCATCCAAGCTTTAACCAGATCCCCACTCCACCCCTGGCACTGCCATCCAGTTGTGCAGACTCCCGAGCTGCTCATCTTGGGAGCCAGTCCCCCGGCAGGGCGTCTTTTGTATCTTTCATATCAGGGTATGCCCTTGGGCACCGGCCTGAGTGCCCCCTCTGCCACAGAGACAATTAAGGGGGCCTTAAGGAGGACCAGAGATAAGAGAGGAGGGAAGCCAAGCGGGTCTGGTCCTCTTGGCCCGGGAAGGGAGCCCAGCACAGTTGCCCATAGTTGATCCCACTGGGAGACCCAGGGAAAGTTGGGGGGTATGCAACTGGCCGCCCCTTGCCCGTTTCCACCCTGCCTTGAGCCGTAAACGCTGCCCGTGCCCTGGGTTCACCTGCTTTGCTAAATCATCCACCAAGCCAAGCCTGAACCTTCCAGTCCCCTTACATGCTCTGCCCCACATGCTCCTTTGCAGATGCCGTATTCAGTGCAGCGCAATGCAATGAGGCTGCCTTCACCTTAGGACGCCCCCTGGGAAGGGATGCAGCAAGCCAAGAAAGGCGAAGGTGCGGGCATGAGAAAGGGAGCATCCGGTACACGCACTTCTCTTCTTCAGTCTTTTTTAGAAAGCATTCTGAATTCCCATTCGGGAGCTGATTTTCCTCCGCGGGTATTTTCTTCTTGGCATTGACAGGGAACATGGGGAAGAGACCATCCCCGGGCTCTGGAATGAGAGAGAAAAGTGGGACCCAGAAGAGGAAGACGTTCTCGCTGCCCTCGGGCTCTCCGACTTCGGCTGTTAAGTCACAGTCCCGGCCGAGTGATCGACTTAATCCCCAAACCATTGATCCGGTGGGTACAGATGTTCCTTCAGAAGTCTGCAGAAGTGAGGGAGCTGTTCTGAGCATCATTTGCTCCCCAGGGGATGTAGAAAGACAGACCAGATCAAGTAACAATTGCTTTTAAATGTTTAGACAGAGAGAATCAGCTGATAAACCCAAGTCCTGTTGCAGGGGGTGTATTTATTTATCGTTATCCCAAGACTGTTGCTGTCCCTCCCTTAGTCTTTTTCAGTGAAAAATTAGGGGTTATGGTTGGCTTACATCAAGTCGCCCTACTGCCAGGCTTTTCTGCCATGAAGGAGAGCCTCCTGGAAACTGGGTTACTTCTCTCATTTGCTCACCTAGGATTTGGGACCGTCCTACTGAATTGTACTCCGAAGCAGGGACTTTCAAGGAGGTTCCAGTTCTAATGATGGACTGGACGTCTTCAGCTGAAATGAACAACAAAAAAGTCTTTTCTTACAGCATCTGATCTGGTTGAGAATCGGAGCGGTCCAGCCTTCTCACCTGCTGTTCAGAAAAACTTCTTCTGCCCTTTGTTGAGTAATTCCTTTCCAAGGCTTTTAAGAGTATCTCTGATGTAGGAAACATCAGAGTAGACAAACTAAGTTGGTGGGAAACTATCACAAATCATTGGGCTTTTTTTTTCCTGATTTGACCTTGTTTTACAGGCCATTTTAGTTCTGTGTTTGACTGTGAACTTTGTCGATTCCCTATATACGTGAATTAGCAGGAAATGTAGTGGTTCTATCATTATTATTACATGCTTTCTTGTTTATCATTGTCTCCTTGAGAAGTCTGGCCTAAAGTTGAAGTTGACATTAGAAGTGTGATTGGTTTTTCCTACAGTGGAAATTATCAGTGACTAAGTATACTTTGAAAGGGGATCTTTTCTTAACTGATAGGATTTATAGTGATTAAACATGATAATTATTTTAGCAATCTTCCAGATCACCGTTCCTTTGAATATGTATATCCAAATAAATGCTCTAATAGAAAGAAAAGTCCTATTTCATGTGTGCAGGATTTTTAGAAGTACATTATAGGAAACTTAGAGATTTAATAAATCCCTTTATATTATAAGTTCTTTCTATCTTGGCTGAAAGATTCCCAATATTTCTAGTATATTGTATTTTTTTTTCTCTTAATAGTACATGTATTCTTTCTTACTCTCTTTATTTTGCTTTCAGAACTAATGTGTTTATTTTTATAGATTGTTATGTTCCTTTTATTTTTTAATCTTAATTTGATAAGGACTGATTTGCCATCATTTTGTTCTAAACTCTGGAGAAGGTTTAGCATAAGATGGATGTGTGCAGATAAAGAAAAATCTATTATCTTCTTTCTAGGCTGTATATTTTATTCTCTTCTTAAGAGATAAGGTTTCCACAGTTATATCATTGAGATGGATCCCGGTCCATATTTCCATTTTCCAATATTTTGTGCTTCCTGTAAAATGCATGCATGAACTTCTGTTTCATCCTTTGTTAGGGAAGTTCATGATATTCTCCTCATCCCCTGTAGAAAAGGAAGCTTCACACATCCATGTTCTGCTTTCCTTAGTAATGTTAGAAACATTCAACAGGCAGACATCTGAAATGTGTGGTTGGCAGCTGGCTGCTGTTTCTTTTGAGGCCTAGTACTCTTGGCAGTCTTAGCAAAGGATATTGTTGGGAGCAAAACAGCAGTAAGCCTTCACTCCGTTTTGGAGCATTCCTTTTTTCTGTACTCTCGTGGACTCCAGCCAGTAAAGTTTTGCCTCTTCTCGTTCTTTAGATCAAGAAAAAAAGTTCTGTAACCTTTTATCAGCTGAAAGTGCTTGATAAATACTGTGCCCCTCTTTCTGATTTTCATCTTCATTCTGAATATACATTTATGCTTACATTTACAATATATCCTCAAAATATAACATATAGAGTAATACTGCAAAGGTCAAGCACCTTCAAATCCCATTGGAAGAGATTTAAATTCAGTAGGATTTAGAAAAGCTAAGTCTGGCTGGGGTATATCTATGTTGGAACGCAAATACTAACACTAATATGGTGACCATGACATCTTCCTTTTTTCGTTCTAGTTCAATATCCAGTCAAGAGTATCTTCTCCCTTTGCAGCCATTTATTCTAAAGGGGGCATCCCTTGCAGGTAATATTTGGGAGCTGGGGGAGCAAATTGGATTTATGGAAGCACTAAATGTTGAATCAAATCAGTACTGCTTTATTTGTTCATAAGCATTTTGAAGTGTTTTTCACTTTCTAGGGATGCAATCTTTCATATACTTATCTGAGAATAAGATGTGCTTTGAATTGTATTGCATGTGGATTAAGAGAGCAAATAGTCCCAAAAATAATATGACTAAGAAAAATTAATTTTACTGGTTTCTGGGAATGCATATTTCTTAAATACTTTTTTTTTCATAAATAAAATATTTTTAAAAGCTCCTTTAGTGTTGCTGGTGACTAAATTCAGTGTTGCTAAATTCAGATATTTCTTGTGACTGTTTCAGAATGGTACACATTTTATAGTAGCTCTGTTACACTTTTGCTTCGGTCCATAAAACTCACGTATTGCACTTGTGATCCTTCCTTTCAAACTCAAAAATACCAGTGTAGGTCCTTGTAGAAACAATACTTGATTTCTCATTTCCATTTGGAAGGGTTAAATTTACTTAAAAGGCAAAAGTACTTTTCATGCTGATATTAATAGAAAGAAATATGTACATCCACATTAACCATATAGCAAGAACATTCTTGCTTGCTTATACTGTGAGTTTTCATCATAAAATATTTGCATTTAATATATTATTAGAAGTTGGGTAGTTCTGTTCTTCTCTCCTCTGTTGATATTGGTAGAAGATGATGAGGTTTTTTTTAAAAAAAAAACAATATATTTAATAAAGAAGAAAATAACCCTTCTATTTGTGAAGTTGTAAGAGCTGAAGCTGGCAAGGCAGAAATCAACAATTCCTCGGCCAAACTGAACTGTTATGTAAACGTGGAACAGATGTTTTCAACTCTTAGAACCAGAAAATAATTATTAGAAATTTATTGATTTAAGAAAAAAAACGGTGGGGAGGACAAAGCCTCGGATTTAAATCCTGGGGCTGATACATAGATAGGACTTGATTTATGTGTTCTGCAATTGGTAAGTCTTTATGGATTATGAGTGTTTTCTTGATCTGCAGTAAAACAACTCATCCAGCTGTGCTGAATCTGTGAAACTTTGAGCTAAATTTTTGAACGTGGAGTTGAGTTCGTGGAAAGTCCAGATTTATAGCTGTGCCTGGCATGCAGGGCTTTTTGATAGTAGCTCATGTAGCGTGCAGTACACTGATTTCTGACATTTTGGCAGGCACTTAAGACCATTCTTTTTCAATAGGCCTCAGGATGTTGTTTTAGAGCTCATGAAACAGTATATATTTGTATGATTTTTGCTGAAATAAAATGTACTAGTTTTGTGAAAGGTATTTTAGAAACCGACATTAAGTGAAAATACAACAAGACTGACTTTGTCTCTGTCTCTGTCTCTGTCTCTGTCTCTGTCTCTGTCTCTCTCTCTGTCTCTCTCTCTCTCTCTCTCTCTCTCTCTCTCTCTTTCTCTGCCTTCGGGTCAGTGTTGATCTGGCGACTGGCTGGACAAGTCCCTGTTAAATATATTTTCAATGCTTTGTTTCAGATTAGTCCATGGCTCTGTAAGGCACAAATTGCAATGGGATTGTCACCCTGCAACACTTCAGTTTGATCCTCTTCTTATTAATTTAGCAGAGGTAAACCATTTTTGTGGATACCAACTTTTCAGGTTTGGATGAGAATTCCTATAATTTGTATTTTCTTACTCATTTTGTTCAAAGGACAACAGGAAGCTGGAATTTTCTTAAAAATAACGTGTTGTATTACAAGCTTCCTTTTTTAAAAATTAGAAAAAACGCGATAATTTTACGAAGAACACTGGAAGTTTAGTGACAGTTTTGGCAAATAAATATAAATATGAAAGAACCAACTTACAGCAAGGCAGTGATATGCTTCGTTCATGTCACTCTTCCGTTGGTTAGCTAGAGGTTGTCGTGGGGTTGGGGGTTGGGAGAGCGGAGAGATCCAGAAGGTTTTGGGGCAGTAAGTCTGGTCCCAAAAGTGAATTGGTCCTCAAGCTTTGAATCTTTGGTCTAAATAAGTGTTTCTCACCCTCAGCAACTTTAAGCTGTGTGTACTGGCTGGGAAATTCTGGGAGTCCATATAGCTTAAAGTTGCTGAGGTTGAGAAACACTGGTCTCAATAACTTCCTTTAAAAAAATAAAGGCATTTTATCATGTTGTCACATTTGCACGGTTTTGCAAAATTGGTGTAAAGACATTCCAGTTACACACTGGTAAGTAGTGAATTGTTTATTGTATATTATACTTCTTAAGCTGAATGCTTAATTTACATTGCAGTTTTTTGTTACTTTAGTAAGTTTGCAAATGAAACAGCTGGATAACTTATTTCCCCGCTCCCTCCTCTACATTTATACTACATATAATTTCCTTCTGCACACTTCTGGATTATGGATCTCCCCAACCTAAAACATGATATGAACCAGAAAGTGCTATTTCTAACCTTTCTTCTTAAGGTTAGGTGTCAGTAACATTTTTTTTTTTAAAGTAAACTTTTGTTCGACTGTATTTTTAAGTTGTGCGTGTTATTTGGATTGGGAAAAGATCATTTATATTCAGTCAGGGGCATATTTAGAACTGTACTGCTGCATATCCCACTGAAGTCTTAAAAACAATTCTCTCTGGTGACTCAAGATTTATCTTCTTAAGAAAGATCTTTTCAGTTAACTATATTCTAAATACCTTCTGCAGATTCTGTGGTGTAAAAGAAAGGGGATCACTGGCAAATTACATATCTAAATTCCTAATTGAATTGTTTCTTCCAAGAATGTGCCTGAAAGCAATAATTGATTCTCACCAAACATAAGAACTATGTCAAGAAATATTTTACAGGCTTTCAACATTTCTCCATTTTTGAATTCAGAGCGGGGAAAAGCACCCACTGGAATATCTTTGTCGTATTTTCTTTGCCCCACAAACTATCAGTGCTTAGGTGGTGCACTGGACTCTGCCAACCCCTTCCTTGGCTCCTTTCTTGGTGGCTGTTTTACACAGCAGAGTAGAAGCATTTTTCAAGGACAAGTAGTGGACAGGGTAGCCCATCGTCTTTAGCTGTATCAGTAGTCCAGAATGAACAGGATACTGTTGTTCTCAGAGCAGTACTTATCAAGGCATACAAATAGTACTGATTATGGACCATTTCTGAACAAAATATGGAAATATTTGAAAAAGAAAGCCAGAGATTAAACCAGTGAGAATTCACAGGGTGGTTTTTTTTAAAAAAAGCTACCTGGATAGTATGTAAGTGTAGAGAATCTACTTGTTGAACATTGCTATGCTAGATAGACCCAGAAGGGGGCAAACGTGCATTTGAAATGGAACAAATCTCTGGATTGTTTCAGGATATTGTCGGCTCTTGCATGTGTTTTTAACGAGTTTTGGGCCAAAGGGAGCTCTGTATTAATATGATGCTGTGTGACTCTGGCAGGGGCTGAAAGAGACGAGGCACCCATATACATTTATATCCCAGGAGGGCTTCAAAGAATTGCTGTCGGTGGAAGGCGCTGCACAGAGAACTATTCCATTACTTCCTCGGCTTGTTCCAGTGTTAAAAGCTGCTTTGGTGGGTCTCTTTCATTGGAGAACATAATAACAGCTCATGGTGATATTTTGTGCCTTCTGAGTTAATTCATGACCTTCATAGTCTCCCATACCTGTGCCCAGAAGGCAAAACAAAAGTGTGTCTTCCCTAGATGAACATGGGTGTGGGGATACAGAGAGGAAGGGGGAGATTGTCTCCTTCGCTTGGCCACGATAGGTACAGAATACTATACCAGACAGACTTTTTTATGTTCTTAAGACTGATTTTGCTCTGTCTGGATTTTATTGTGGTAAACCCTAGACGCTTCCAGCAGTTTTGAATGATAGCCAAGGGATTTGCTAATACCTTCAGGTAGTGGATCTTGGGCCCCAACTCCATCATGGACATCCTGCATTTGAGTCACTGTATTTCAGCCCATCCTGTACAAAGTCCTTTCAGGAAGCACCAGGTAGAAGTTAAAAATATAATTAAAAGTGGAATCAACTCCAGGGCAAAATATTTATAGCTATCCTCTAAATAAAATAAGAAAGTTTCTGTCTTAACATACTACATTGGTATTTTTGTTTAAAGCCTCAAGTTTATCTTCTGAGAAAGGTGAGCTGAAGGTTGACAGTGAACACACAGTGGAAGAGGGATGTCTCGGTGTGATTGTCAGCTTATGTATTTTTTGTAGACATAACTGAATAGCAGATGTGGTGGATTATTTTGCTAAACCATTTCGGATTAGGTTACGGAAAATTTTAGTTGTGACATCTCCTGTAATAAGTAATTTATGAATTACACCTAGTGCTAAACATTCCATGGCTTGATGCCATTCCATTAGCATTGCAGGGTTCTTCCTGAGAAGAAAATGTTTATAATGAGGAATAATTGTTTTAAACAACTGTGATTGTTTTTTCCCCCAGAACTAGTTCTTTTTCCAAATACCCTGTTAGTAATTCTCTTCATATTGCTTTGTTCCATCAAGTTTGTATTCCAGAAGATGGGTGTCCACACACTGAGACTTTTGGATGCATACTTTGTTACAGTGGTCAGGTCTGGTGCCCATGACCCTCTCTTGCCAGCAGAACTCTTACTCCTAAAGGCTGCTAAGGTTTGGAGCCCAGTCAAAGCACTTCAGGAGCAAAGCTGGTGAAGAGAATTGGGTCCTTACCATGTTGGATTTCATATATAGTGTACTGGGAGTACCTTCAGTAATTGCAGTCACCTGATTAACATAATTAAGAAGAAATGCCTGTTCATCTCTCTGAATTTTTTTCCCCAATCAAAATCATGCTTTATAGTTAAATAAGTATATTTTAAAGTGGCTGTAATGTTTTGGCTTCATATTATTAGCCATAGAGTGGTAAATGTTTACAGCAAGCAAGCCCATGTAGGATTGTGAATATTTGAAAGTATGTTTCATTGAAATCATTGTGTAATACATAGTATTAACTTCAGTGGAATCTACTTCTAAGTAAAAAAAGGTGCCAGTCTTCTTGTGTTGAAACATAAAAATGAATTGTTTGGTAAACACTTATTGGTGTAGTCAAAAGGCTTTTATTTAGAAAAGGAGGATGCATAGTTTGGGCCTCCCTAGATCTTTTTGAAGTCCCCAAAGTTCTGGAGCACAGCCCCCAGAATGCAGTTTCTCCAAATTATCAGGAAATTATAATTTTTTAACAGGACACAAAAGTTATCATTTTAACAGTATTAAATGAATGCATTTTTATTTCATTTAAATTAAAGCAGTGCAATTTTGTTCTGAACCTTCTCTTCTTTCTCTAGATCCCACCTAATTTTGGGGGCATGCTGCCTGTATACCACCCACAGCTCACCCCTCTGCTTTTTAGGGAGTGATTCTTAAACCAGGTTAATTGGGTTTCTTCTTTTTAAAAAAAGGCCCATTCAGATGATGAAGTATTTAGAAGAGGACTGAATGCTTTGGTACAGTTGAGCGCTGTTGTTGGCTCTTGGCTTAATGATCATCTGAAGCATCTCCTTTCTAGTGTGAGTATAACCCTGTTTAATCACAGTTTACTGGCATGTTTGTTTGTTTTTTTCTGGTTTGTGGCAAGTGAGGATCTGTATTATAAAAGCCACCCCATTAATACACAGAGTTATGTATATATTAAAGATTAAAATTCCTTTGGAAATTAGAATAAGAAGATGTTGCAGGTCAGAGTGTTTAAGACACATTAACTGGATTTGCACATCAACCTCAGACATAATGTCATTTACTTGGTCTTGCTTAGAGTGTTAATCCAAGCCCTGTGATTTCAAATCATGATTTACAGCTTAGTATAAAGCTATAAACCCATCCACGTGGATTTATTCAAGAAACCATGGTTTAAAAATCACATCTGCTGCTATGGACATACATTTGGCTGACTGCACCACCGAATAACAGTAGCCTGTCTAGATCAAACAAGGCATTTTCCTAAGATAAAGGGCCGTGCTATTGCAACGTTTCCGACGGTTTTCAAATCTAAAAGCCATGTTTGCCTTTTAATTTTCCCCATAGCTTTCCAAGAGACAGATGAGCAAGAAGTTCAAAGAGCAAACTACTGAGGCTTTGCAAAAGCTGGAGCAGTATGGTGGAAAAGTAAGCTCAATCTGCTGATCTCCTCCTCAGTTTATTTTTCCTGTTACCTGCATTGTCTGGTTGGGGTTTGTGAATCCTGTGTGGTAGCATCAAGAAGGGGGAGCAGTAGTGGACCAGCCCTGAATTTTTTACAGACCATACGTGCTTATTAAAGCATGTCTGCAGTCCCATCTTTCCCCACTGAATGAGCTGCGTTCTGCTGCCAAAGCAAACAAGGGAGCACTCTTGATTGCAGGGACATCATTAATAAATGTACAACTGCCATTGCCACTTTAAAGATGAGAGAAAACTCAGTGATGGAGTATCTGGAAAGCCTTTCTCTGCTATAATTCTCAGTAATTTCACGTAACATCCACTCATTCGTCTGTCTGCACAGTTCTTTGATTTTCCTTGAGGCGATGATTGAATATATGACACTGATTTTGTTGTGAAACGTTGTCTTTGGGTTGATAAAACTTTATGAACCCAGTACAACAGCACATAAAATAGCTGAGCTGGGCATAAAGAGGGGGAAAAAATGCTGCCACCAATCACCTGTTGCAGGAGGTGGGGGAGAAAATAATTGTTAGCTTTTTTATCGGCTTGCATTGCTTATGTTGTGGCTGTTGTGTTAATGAAGAAGAGGACAGAGTTCCATTTCATGGATACACATCTTCAGTTTGGCACTGTGTATAACATACAGGTAGTCCTTGGTTAACGACCACTCATTCAGCAACCGTTTGACGTTACAACAATGCTGAACGAGGGAGACTTATGACTGGTACCCATAGTTCCGGCCATCCCAGCACCCCCACGGTCACGTGATTGCAATCTGGGTCCTTGGCAACTGGCTCACGCAACAGTTGCAGTGTCCCACAGTCATGTGATCATGATTTGTGACCTTTCCTTCCAGCTTCCCACAAGCAAAATTAATGAGGAAGCCAGCAGGGAAGGTCACAAGTTGCTTGGGTAAGTCTCCCCAACCTGTGCTTCCCCAACTCCTCTGGGCTTGTGCCATGCCTCACTGGCCACCTGCATACTCTCCCCAAGCCTCACTGCACTCACACCATGCCTCTGGCCACTCGTGCACCCTTGCGCACCCTCCCCCACCCAGCAACAGTGACCTAAGCCTGCTTTGTTTTCACGCCGCACGCCTCCCCACCACTCCTGCACTCTCCCCAGCCACTCAGATACCCTGCCCAGCCACTCGTGCACCCTCTCCCACCCGGCAGCAGCCACTGTAAGCCCCACTGCGTTCTCACTGCGCCTCCCCCACACTCACGCACCCCCTCACTCCCTCCCTCACTCAGCAGCAGCCACTTACCTGCTTGCCAACCTGCTTGTGAGCCACCTGGGACTTGCAACCTCCTGCTGGCTTCTCCACTGACTTTGGTTGTTGGAAGCTGGCAGGAAGTTGTGAGGAGGTGCTCGCTTAATGACCCACGATTCTTGCTTAGTGATGGCAACGGGGAGTGGCAGGATTGCTGTTGCTAAGCGATGTGGTCACGTGATATCGCACTTTACAACCTCATCCTTAGCAACAGAAATTCCGGTCCCAGTTGCTGTGGTAACTTGAGGACTACCTGTATATGATGTTATATCTGGAATTCCATCTCTATGTTCCCGGTACATGCCCCCCAACAGATTTTTATGGGAAGACCGAAAGGGTTCCAAATTAGAAATAATTTGTTTTCAGGGGAAGAGGGAATTTGGTTGCACGTAAGATGTACTTCAGTGCAAACCTATTTACCATTATCAATTCCCATTTTATCAACAGGAAAGTCTGACTATTATAAAGGCAAAAATTCCAACTTATTCTTCAATTTCTTCCTAAAGAATGTGATGAAGAACCCTGCCTTGGAACTGTATGGTGTTACTTATTTTTCTATGATGTGTTGGTTTATAATCTTTCAGGGAAAGAAGTGATTAATATTTAAAATGTTAAGAATAAATGTGTTTTGGATATTTAATTATGAAAAATGCTTAGAAATGGTGTTGTCTTTGTTTTAGTCCTTTTGCAGGAAGTCCAGTCCAATGTGTCTGGTTTGTTAAAATTATTATGAAATAGTAATTCAAAAGAAAATGTGCATACTTTACTTGCTAGATTTAACACTTACTGAAACCTATGTGCAATTTGATTTTTACTAAATTTAGGTGATGATGGGTGAGGACACTAATTTTTTCAGTGCAGGTTAAGGTTCTAAAACTTCCTATCTTAAAAAGACTTGAAATTACTAAAGCTTGAAGGGATTGTTTCTTGATTGATATATTTATTAAAGCCACAGAGACCATTTTATTTTTATACTGTTTCTTAAGGAAAGACCTCGTTTGGGTTTTAGATTGGAAAACATACATAGTTTGTTCTGTTGAGATGAAGACTTTTTTTCTCCCCGAGTCAGTAATGGAGTCAATACTTCCATTGAGTCAGTATTCAATGCTCAGAATACTTAGGTCTCTATCAAACAGAGATTTCAAGTATTAAAGAAAGATCGTTAATTACACTATAGCCTTCAAGTATTAAACTTTATATAACAAATACTTCCCACAAGTCCATTAAAAAAAACCAGACCTTTCGTGTCTTCGTTTTTATTATAAAATGTGCACATTTAATTTTCATGAACATTCTACAACAAATTTCAGATGTACATGTATTGTACTACTCTTACTCCTATAGTGGTGGTGATAGAGCAAATTTCAGCTTGACTCTCTAGGCCCTCTTGCACCAGAATAGATGTCATTTTTGAAGAAAGAAAGAAAAAAAGCTACAACAGTTTGCAGCATTCTTGTACATCTATAAGCTCTCTGGATCTTCAGTGCAGAAATGTCACGATTAATGCTGGCATAGTTCTTCTATCAGTAGTTATAGGCATCTAGCCAGACAGTAATTTAATAATATTTTGACTACCTTGAGAATTAGGAATTTTTGTTGGCTACAGTCCATCCTGTCTCCCCCCCCTTTTTTTTTTAAGGAAAGGGGAAAGCCAACTTCTACCTCTCTCATCTCAGATACTGTGCACTTGTATTTTTTCCCTGGTCAGTTTTAAAGGCTGAGGCAAGTTTACTCTTAATTTTATTCACATCATTTTTCTGTCAATTTTCTATCGTTCACAGAACATTCTCTTTCTGCTTTTCACACTATGAATCCTAGCAGTTGTAGCTCCTGAAAAATCTACAGTTGCTTCTAAATTGTTACGCTAATAAACTTCCCATCTTACTTGGGCTTTGAAACAAGAGGAAAAAAAATCTCTCATATGCATGATGCTAGATTGTTATAATTGTGTCCTGTCCCATATTTTGAGTGGTATCTACTGGGGATCTGAATGAACTCTCTTGCTGGTTCCCTATCAACTCTCTTGCTGGTTCCCTATTCTGGCTTCATCTTTATTCCAATCAAGAACCGGTAGTATCAACTAATTTTTACCTTTGATTTGGAAGCCTAAGCTTTTATGTAAACTGCTGCCTCAATGTTCACTATACCAGTAGTCTTGTCAATAGAATAAATTTATCACAGGCAATGGTTAAATAATGTAAACCTTTTTTTCTATAAAAAGAATATTCTGCTATAAAATGTGTAGACCATGAATTTAAAAGAGTAGTGGCAAGGAATCTGATAATCCCCTCAGGATAAACAAGGGAAGACTCTGTATGAAGTTTATTATGGAGACAGAAGGGTTTGGTTTCATGGGGAGAGCCTGGCTGCATTTAAGTTGTCCCATTTCTCACAGTGACCCAATATGAAGTCAGCATATGAGAATGCTAATAGGCTGCATGAAGCTTCCAGCCACACATGGGTGGATTCTGCTTAAAATGTCATTGTCAAAAATAATCTTCAGTTGAGAATTATGTAGGATGATCTTCATACAATAGGGAGTGTGGAATTAAACAGTTGATATTGTAGAAACTCATCTAACAAACAGATTGCCCTTTTCCACCACTCTAAGACCTCTGCTATCAAAGTTGGAATGACAATAATGCATTTTCCCTATTGCTGTTTTCTTTGGATTGTTCTATGAATCAAATGACATTTTAAAAACAACTATGAGAGCATTGTTTAATGACTTTGCTTTACCTCAGCTAGTGGAAAAATACAGTCTCAGAAGGTAGGCTTTAATTAAGCAAAGCTTATTTGCATTATAGACATCTCAGTGTAAAAGCTGACAATCCTGTTTCATAAGTGGCAACATTTATAGGTGTGTTGCTGCAGAATTGTTCATATTCTCCACTGATTGAAGGGAGAGCTGCATGAGGTTAAATTACATTTTCAAAGAGTTGCATGGAACGCATTATGTTTTCATCCTACAGGAAAAACATACAAGCTCTCATTATCAGGAAAAGATATTTGAAACCAAATTCTTAACAACACCAATGCACAGTTATAGAGATAATGAACATCTCTTTTAAGCTGAACCCATTATATCTATCATCTGTCTCTATCATCTGTCTACCTATATCTATTGTCTATCTATCATCTATAACTATCATCTATCTGTCATTATCTATCTATCATCTATCTAATCTAGCTGATCTCCTAAAATCAAATGTAGCTGAAATAGAACTGCATGCTATAATCCAAGGTCCATCCTTCCATTCTTTGACGGTCCCTGCTGCCCATCAAACAGCAACCCTCCTGTTGATTTCTGGAGATATAGATGAATATAACTAGAGGAACATTAAGATGGTCTGGTTGACAAGCCATCAGTAGTGGGCTGTGTAAGCATTTCAGTCCCCCACCCCCACCTCGATATGGCCATACGACACTCATGCATTGGAATGTAATATTTCCGATTAATATGGCCGACAATGCTTGTAATTAAGAGATGGAACTTGGTGACAGAAACAAGACCTGCAGTAATAGTTGTGTATCAACCAATCAATAATACTAGTGAAGGTAAAAATATCTAAAGAGCACTACAACACTGGGATGAATCACCTGCCTATATAAAACAAGCACTTTGCATCCAGAATGATGTTTGTGTCCCTAGAATCTCCAAGATTTGCTGAAATTGGGCAGCAAAATAGCAAATTGCAATTGTGCTGTTCTTTTCATGTATTAAACTCTAGAAAGCCAAACTAAAACCTGGGGGACATGGGGTATAAATTTCATTTACCTGCTCTGATGTTATCCCTGCATCACCCACCCACATTCTTCCAGTGGCCTTCAGAAGCTAAAATGTTAATAAAATGTGTGACTCCAAAGTGAAATAAAAGTTGGTGACCTACAGCACAATCTCTTCCTTTTCATTTTCAAGCAGGGGCTGAACAGTCATTTGTTGGGAATGATCTAGAGTACAGAAAGAGTTTGTGCAGGGCTTTAACACTTCCCTGTGGTGTGCAAGTCACTCACCGGTAAAATACTTACTTTTTGGCAGCTTTCAATGAATTCATCTATGGTCACTACACCATCTTTGTTCTTGTCCATTTTCTGCCAAAAATAAAAGGTCTGCATAAGTGACTTTAAACTCTTGTCCACAATACTTTATGTCCATTACTGCCTTATTTTTTAAAGAATATCTGTGGATGCTAAGGTTCCAACTAAAGCAGTGTGCTTTGACTCCACAGTTAACTTCTTGATTTTATTTTACTTCATTTTGTTTCCTTACTGTAGACAAAAGACATACTTTTCAAGTGGAAGGTGGTACATATGAGAAAAATAGAATCTAGCATGAAAGTGGTACCACTAAAGCAGCTTAAAAAGACTCATAAATAGATCTGGGAGATTAATAGCTGATTTGTATCTACAAACAGCATAATAGTAGTAAATTTCATAACCATCATAATGCAAACCATTAAAGAAATGCTAAAGTATTTAGGTGAATCCTACCTGAAAAAATGTTTCCACATGTTGTCTTGGGGCATCCTCTCTAAGAACAGGATAAGTGCATTTCCCCATCATATCATATATAGCCTTCATTATATCAAGCATTTCCTGGCAGGGATAAATAACACATTATTTATTTTTATTTACTTTATTTATACATCACATTTATATAGCCATCCGTCTCACACATTAGAGTGAACTGACATAAATGTATTGAAAAATGTAGGCAGTGGTGATTGAAAATTTCTGAACTCTTTAGAGCTCTCTAAAATCCTGCAATAAGGTGACATAACCATGTGATCAAAGTTTCAACTAAATCCTATTAATAGATTCTGACTGAACAAACCATCCAAAATAGTATACACGTGGCATGTTTTTGTTGGACACATTAAACCACCATTCACAAACTTTGTTCCGCTGGAGTCTGCCGGGGAGGGTCAAAACAGGCAAGATGGCAGATGTGGCATCACAATACAAGTTCCACTTCTTTTATACATGCGCAAGACATTGCTTCACATACAGACAAGATGGACCTTTGATTGCAATGCTGCACCCAGCTGTTGCTGCTGCTGTCAGTGTTCAGGAGTCCACTGTAAGGAAAACACTGAGCAAGTCTGCGTGGAAGGATACCAGTGAGAAAAACGGTGCTCTCCAGAAAACACTCTGCCACTCATCTCAAGTTTGCCAGGGACTATTTGGATGGTCCAGCAAGCTATTGGAATAATCTGTGGATAAAGGAGTCAATCTTTTTTTTTTTTTGGCATTGATGAGAAAGGGTATTTTAGAGAAGTTGAAGTATTGCATTCAAACAACCTCATCCCAACCATAAAGTATGGTAGGGGGAGTGTCATGGTTTGAGATTGCTTTAAAGCCCCAGGACCCAGGCAACTTGCAATCCTTGCGGGAACAACAAACAAGTTTTACAGGATATCTTGAAGGATGTTTGTCCATGAGCTGAAACTTAAATGTGGGTGATGCAACATGACAGTGATCCTCAACACTCAAGTAAATCTACCACAGAATGGTTGAAGGAGAAGAAATTTTACATTTTGGAATGTCAAGTTAAACTCTGATCTTAACCCCATTAAAATGTTGTGGCAGGACTTGAACCAAGCATTTTCTACAAGACAGCCCCTAAACTGAATTGAAGCAGTTCTGTAAAGAAAATAAGTCAAGCTATCTCCAAGACGATTCGCAGGATTGATCAACAGGTACAAGAAACATTTGGTTGAAATCACTGTGGCTGAAGGAAATGCCATCAATTAGTGAAAGTAAAGCTTCTCATACATTTTCCAGCAAGGATCATGAAGGCTAAATGTATTCTGTGAAGAGAGGACAGGGTAGGTTGTTTAATCAGAATTTTTTGGACTCACATGAACCTCAGATCATATTATTGGTAAAGACTCTGGGTAGCTGTAAAGGAGAGTCAGTTTGGTTTAGTGGTTAAGGCACCAGGCTAGGAACTGGGAAACGGTGAGTTCTAGTCCCGTCTTAGGCATGAAAACTGGCTGGGTGACTTTGGACCAGTCCCTCTCTTTCAGCCAACATCAAGCTCCCGCGACAAGCTGGTCGGTCAATTCCTGTCACAATCAACTGATCAACATTTGGATGATCCAAAAAAAAAAAAAAGGCAGACCCTGCACCTGTGGGGAAAATGCTAGGAAGAAAAAAAAACTCTGGGTAGCTGTAAAGGATTCACAAGCTCTCTCTCATGACTCTGGCTGGCAGATGCACTTCTGCAAAATAGACACCCTGCTCAACTAGAACTGAGAATCTTCCCAAATGTGAAGTTTGTTTTAAAACTATTCAGTGACATCTAAGAACAAACCCGATACCTCTAGGTTAACAGAAGGATTGATGTGATCCAAAATTCATATTTCTTCAATATCTCACTGGAGCCTTTCTATTGCTATCTTGAGAAATGGTCAAGAAGAACCAGGAGGTTGGAACAAAAATTTCAACTACCTGGATAACAGGCTTGTCTCATGATTAGGCAATTCAGTGATTCATGGAGGAGCAGGAGGAGCTCTACAATTTTTAGTGGAATCCATAAGCACCAAAGCCAAATTTTGGGAACTTACAGTTTTATCTGTCAAACAAGATGACTTGTTTGTACTTACAGATTTGCTATAATGCCTGCAGCATATATACATAAAACCTGCAACATACAAACTTAATGCACAGAAAAAAGTTAATCCCATCTAGAAACAGCTTTAATAGCTGTTGATATAGTAGCTTTAGTAGCTTTGATATAGTCTGTAAGTGTATGAGAAAGTAGGAAACTAAAAATATGGAGGAGCAATCCCAACTGAGTGGCAAAACTTTAAAAAAATGCTGCATTTCTGAATCTAGCGATCATGATGTATCTGCATGTGAAAATAATAAGTGTGTAGTTAGCCTTGAATTGGACTCCTTACCTCTTTTGTTATATAGCCATCTTTATTTATATCATACAAATTAAAAGCCCAATTGAGTTTTTCCTGCACTGTCCCTCGAAGCAAAATTGAAAGGCCCATAACGAAATCCTAGAAAAAAAAACAAAAACAAATGGCAACACAGAAAACGAAGGTTTCTATTGTTTTAGGTTAACTTGGCAGAAGAACTGCATTTTGGCAGCAGGAAAAACAAAATAAACCCAGATTGATTGATTGATTGATTGAATAACAAGTCTCTCATGTGACATCTGAGTCCTCAGAACAGCCTTGTTACCTTCCTTGTTAGCTTCATGGAAACAGAAAAAACTTTGAAGGTAACAGCCCTTACAACTCTCCCATTGAACTCAACGGAATCTTGAAAAACCCATTAACCAGTTGGATCTTGCTTATTATGGTAAACAGAAATGGAAAATGCTCCACTTCAATTGGATGAAAGTCAGATGACTTACTATTTATCATTGAACTCCACTGAGCAGTGAAATCAACAATCTCACAGATCACACTATCTTAAGCTAAAAGACCAAGCAGCCATGGACCAACCCAGCTTACATTTCATGAGTAATTGTTTTTATTATAGTGGAATGGCCAAAGGCAACAGTTTTAATAGTAGTACAAGCCACCATTAATGGCGATCTGGAACAGAGCAGGTAATATATCTGATTGACTGTCTCCTTCTGCCTTATTGCCGTAGCATACAAACACTGAATTCAATTAATTCAGTAATATAAAAGTTTTGTCCCAGGAGGATTGTAGCTTCCTAGGAGGTAATCTAGAAATCAATGTAATCAACAAATAAATAAGATCAGGAAGTTACTTGCATGTTACAACAAACAAAAGTTAATTACAAAGACCAAGTAAAAGGTCATTCTTTTTTTTTTCTTCTTCCAAACAGTGTATGCAGACAGGCATTTCACAGCATCCTTTGGGATTTTATTTGTCCTTCCACTAGACTGCATTGATTTCTCAAAATGTATTTTATTGCAAACACTATTTGTATTAAGCCTGTGCAGTGATCCAGATTTGTAGGACCAAATGTGATCTGGAGCATGGATGGCCATGCCTACAGCATCTGTCAGGAGCACCTCAACCAGGATCATGCCAAAGTTGAGGAGGTCAAGCTTAAAGAAAGACACAGCAGTCAACCTTGACTATAATTTGTACGATCAAGTATTATTCCTACCATCAGATGGTTTAAACACATCCTTATCTTTTACTGTATTCTAAAATCACTGGCATATAACTCAATTGCCTGTGAATAGATCATGTTATCTAGTGAAAGGTAACATACCATTTAATTTAAATGTTATTGCACTGTAGGTATTTTAAATATTCTTTTTATTATATTTTTTTGGACTGAGAAAAGAAAAACGAGAAATGCATTGACAGAATTAAGCCAAGCTGGAGTACTGCTAGAAGCACAGGAGAAGTTCTGAGCTTAAAGAAAAAGCAGAATATCACATAATAAATAGACCTAAATAAATTGTTTCCATGTTAAGAATTTTTCAATCCCACTGATTCAATGAAGAGATCCGGTGAACATTTAAAACTGTTGTTCCAGGCAGTGGACCGTCACTGCAAGAATTATCCAGAATGTAAGATAATCATGAAGAATTGGAATTTTTACCATATTAAAAAAAATCCCTTTGGTGGCCAATCTGCTTTATCTTTAAGCACATATGAACTACTACATAAATATATAAATAAAGGCATATTTAATCATTTGCAGACTATTCTATGCCTACGTCCATTAAAAAAGTGTAAACAATGAATATGCAAATACTGACAAATAAATACATCAGGATTACAAAGGCCTCAGGATGCATTCAAGTGTTTCACTAACTTTTGAAGGCTTCAGCCCCCGCCTCTCCATTTTTATTTTGTTTGCGAGGTTTCTTTGTTCAGTTTACATCCTGAGTTTTTCCCAGGACTTTAAGGCAGCTTTCATGATGATCATGCCTGATTTTATTTCCATAATAACCATCCTGTGGGTTAAGCTGAGCTTAAGCTGTGGCAATTCCAGCGTCACCAAGCCAGTTTCTACAGCTGATGACAGACTTGAATTTTTCCCTCTTTGGTCCTGGTCCAATAGCTTAATCACTCCACTTCCCTGCCCTGCACTGAGAGCTCATTCCTAGGGTGGTTGAAATCAGCAGTCTGCATCTAAAAAGACTTGGCCTGTGAATATATTTGGTGTCATCCATGACTTTCCAGATCTGTACACCTTTCGGAAACCTCTCTCTCCCTGCACAATATTTGTAAGCATTACAATACCCTTGAGCTGTGTCAACAAGGTAAGAAGCAACTCCTACTCCCAAGGAAACTGACACAGAAAAGATTAGGAGGGAATCTTGGGCAACTTTAGTAGCCATTGTATTTTCTTTCTCTCTGCTGCTCTGGGATTAGAGAATAAAGGTGTGGTGTGCTAAAAGGATAAACAAAGACCACCCATCTTTCTGATCCTTGGCCAATATTACATGTTTTTCCAGGCTTCCTTTGATGTGAGACTTCACAAAAAGCCAGAGATAGACTGCAAATTGGTCTGAGTTCAGAGAGACATTCTGTTCAAATTAGCCTTAAGTGCAGTACAAGGAATTTGGAACATTTCAGCTGAAATTCACAACACAAAAGTGAGCATCACTTCCATTGTTTTCAACAGGTTTAACACATTGTCCTACCTACTCATCACAGTAGTGATGTTATCTGAAACAAAGAGGCCTGGGTTCTGAGCATCTTTCTTTCAATCACAACCCCATAGCACAATCTAAAACCAACACAGAAATGTAGCAACAGAGCAGGAAGGAAGAAGGAGGAACGGTGTTTGCTGCTTTTCCTGCTTTAATTCATAGCTCTTTCTGGACCATACCAAATCAGGTGTGCAAAAAGGTTGTGGATCGCATCTGCCTTGCCAGCTCCCCTTTGACATACCCTCAGAATCTCCATAGTGGGAAAACCAAAGGGGATGCCCCATATTAATTTGATTTTTTGAAGTTCGGGTTAAGGAGAAAATGGGTACCTTAAGCTATCAGGACAGCTAAGGCATGGTTTCATTCTTCAGAATTTTTAAAAATTTCAAAACTTGAGGATCTGGCCTGATCCACTTTTGGAGTGTACTCCTACTCTTTAGCTGTGCACAACCCTGAAGCTCCACGTACATTGTCTCAGTCTATATCTCTCCTCCAACCACTGAAAGAAGAAGGATTCTAACAAAAAAATGCTGGTATGTAAAAGATTGATAAAGTACAGCAATGCAGGTGTAGTGACATTGTAGAAGAACATTGTATTTTGAGGAAGTGTAGTGACATCTTTTAATTTCTCCTTCATATTAAGAAGATTCTAGAAAATTAGAGTTCATTCTGAGTCATGGACCTGCTTGTTTTCCACTTCTGCTAACAGATAAAGATAATCTTAGCACAGCTGTAGTGTATCAGGGAGGACTCCAAGTTGGCACTTGCTCATGTATCCAGACACTTGGTCTACATCCCAGAGGCTGTCAATTTGCATGATGAATAGGTGGACCATCTAGCCAAAGACAAGCTTGTGGTGTCACGCAAACAAGGTTATCAGTTTTGGTACCAGGTGTAGACAATCAACCTCTTAACACATGGTCTGGTGCAAAATAGGGATAAAAATCCTGATATTGATCCTTGAGCTTTGACACAGACCTGAGGCTGGGTGCTGTGTGAATTGGCCATCTTAGGGTCTCTCTGCTGTTGTTCCACTGAGGCTCCCAACAGCTGAAGGTGTAAGAGTTACCACATTCAGCGCCGAATGAAACTCTCGCGAAACACAGGTTCAGTCAAAGAAGTTTACTCAGGCGTAATGCAGGTGGTTACAAGCAAAGCCAGGGTTGGCTTGGTGCAGTTACATACACCGGTTTTATAGGGTTCCCTCCTTGACCCGGAGTTACCCCTTTTCCTGCCCTTCCCCCCATTGCCTGGATTACTGGTTTGCCCACGGTATTCTCCCCCTTGGCCAAATGGCAGATTCAGCCGTGTTTCTTTGTCTCCCGGATTACTGTCCTTTGTTTGTGGGGTTGTTGAGTTCGTTGGGCTTTTCTTCTGCAGGCTAAACTGGAGATCCTTAATTGCTTGCCAATCGCTGCACTTCCGAGCCGCTGCGGTTTGCATTGCCTGCAG